AAAATCAAAGTCCGTATTGTTAAAAGTCTGTGTTGAACATAAGAAATATATTCAATTTATTTGTGAATTTAGACGAGAAGACAAAAGATGAATCAGCTCAAGGAAAGATAACATGCTCCAGTCTCATATCACAATCGATGTAGACACTACTCTAGAATTGCTCAGGAAAAAGATAAAGATGAAGAAGAATTGACGATGAAGACACTACTCTAGAATTACCCTGAAAAAAGATAAAGATGAAGAAGGATTGATCTCGACTCAATAAAAATTAAAATAGAAGCAACAAAAGATAATGTTTTGTGAATTGTTATAGAATAATTTTATTTTTTTAGTAAAATTAGGAATCTTTAGAAGAGGTTTTCATAAACTATTTTTATTGCTTTCATATGCATATGTGGATGCTTTTATCATATAAAAGTGTATTATAATTAGCATTAATCTTCAGTTTATGATTTTTTTTATTAACTATTTTCTGTCATTTTAGCCCACTTAAAATCATCTTGACTCCTTAGCTTTATTATTCATCTTTCTTTTATAATGTTATTTTTTCAAGTGTTTTCACTTTCATGACATTATACTTCCTCAGGTCAAGCTCGGTTTTATACCGATCCAAATGAAATAAAATTTTAAATTAGGTTTAGATTATATTCTTCTCTTGACAATTCAACTATCTACATAAAAATTTCAATTGGGCTTAGCCTATTCAAACAAACATCAAATAAATAAATAAATGATCAAAGTGTAACCGAGGAACAAATTTTAGTAAGAAAATAAACCAAAAATACTTAATCAAAGTGAGAAAAAATTATCAAAGAGTAACCGAGGAACAAATTTTAGTAAGAAAATAAACCAAAAATACCTAATCACTGTATTTAACTACGTGCATTGCACATGCATAAAATCTAGTATATATATAAGGTCTTGTGCACGTACAATACACGTGGTTAAATATCAAAATAAATTTTTTTATTTTCTTACTATAAAATAAGTCAGATTTATTTTGAGTTAAAATCTATAAACATGGATTATTATATTTGCCATAAATTTTATTTAAACATTTTTTAAAAATTTATGAAATACATGATTAATTTTAAAAATCTCTTGGGGCAAGGAATAAACAACTAACAAGTTTGCAGTGGAAGTTAGGGGAACGTAGTATATTCTTAAGAATTATTAATCTTTACTTAGTTTGTTTATAATGATAAGATCTCATTATTAACTAACTACAAGGCCTAGTACATTATTATTTTTGTTGGGCTTCCCTTATTTTTAATAACGGGAAGTTCCTAGAGAATATTACTCCTAATATTCTTAAGGATAACCCAACAATGTGGCCGAATATAATTGGATTTAGATTCGCCAAAGAGCTGGGGGTGGAATACCTCAATTCATTCCAATGGAAAGTTTCTGGAGAATACTACACATGGTATTTTAAGGATAACCCAAAACCGATTAATTATTCAAGGTGAAAACTAATCATCAGAATAATTTATTCTTAATCATGATTAAGAACCTCCCACTGTGGTCGCCAGTTTGTTTTCGCCAGAAGTTGGTTTTGCTGTGGAATTCATTATATCTTTGTTCGATTACAACAAATTCAAAGAAATAGTCTTTTTATAAGACCTCTTTTACACAACAAAGAGAAAATTACAACTCTTGAGAAAATAACACAGAAGTCGTTTATCGAATCCTGTTTTGTGGGACTTTGCCTGTGCCGGGAGCGCTTTGACTCGTGGACCGTCGAATCACATATCGTGAAGGGGGCTTAATTAATGATTCTTCCTTCGTTTATCGAAGTGAGAATTTGAAACGAAGATCTTATCAAAGTAAGATAGTCGTTCTTCTTAAGATCAAGTCAAAGCTCGAATCTCAAGGGAATCCAAGAACAATAGTGTCTGCTCTCTCTCTGCTCTAAATTGCTCAATAATGTCCTCGATCCTCGTCAGAAATGACCCTAGGGGGATTTATAGCCTCAGGGAAATAACTACAAAAAACATCAACAAAATAACACGTTAAGGCCGCGAGACAGTGTTTACTGTCTCGGCGGGCGAGACAGTGTTTGCTGTCTCGGCCCGCGAGACAGTAAATACTGTCTCGGAAAAGGCATATTCCTGGCAGTTTTCGCTGTAACTGCTTTCCCACGTTTTAAACTCCGTTATTTTGGCAGTTATTCACGTGATTTTCACCCACGATGTTTTCCCATGTCCTTTGACAGTTAATGGACACGTGGGTGGCAGTTATCAAGGTGGTTTTTGACCATTTTAACACTGTCTCGCTGGCTCGTATCTGTCTTGATTTCTCTCCTAAGACACTATGAGGTGATTTTTTGATGATCTTCTCTATGTTTGGATATCTATTAGCATTTTTTAACGCTTACAGGCCCATGTGAGTCCTCATTGCATTGAATGTTATACAATTTAAGTATAAAGAAAAAATATCAGTTGATCAATAGTGTAGTTGGTGAGGAAAAACTCCGGCAGCTTAATTTGATATGTAAATATATTATAGATAGAGATGGAGAACGATGATTTTGAAAATAGTGTGTGCGTATGGGTAAGTAATATGGTTTTTGTTTGTGTGGTTTTCTTCGTTCATTTTTAAGCTATTTGTGATCCTGTGGATATATATAGCTATAACATTGCTACTCTTTTTTAATTTTGTAGAAGATTTTGGATCTTAAAAGAAATTAAATTATCTAATCCGGTTAAAGTAGGATCATATAAGTTAAGCTCATACATGAAATTTATTATAACCACCACCCATGTGTGAATATTACAATTGGCGTTGAGTTCTAAAATATGTATGAGATTCTCTTTGAGTTTTATACAAACAATATCTATTTAAATAATAATAGTATAATTAAAATTTGTGATCTGAAAAAAATATCAAACATACAATATAAGTAATTGCTTAAAAATAATCTAATAAGAAGAAAATAGATGAAAATGATGTGAAAAATATTACAATTTTATAATTTATAATTTTTAAACAATCTAATCTAATCTAATAAGAAGAAAATAACAAATACATATACATGTTAAAAGAGATGAAAGTACTATGAAAATTATTATAATTTTTAATCTGAAAAAAGATCAAACATACAATATAATTAATTACTTTAAAATAATCTAATCTAAGCTAATAAGAAGAAAATAGATAAAAGTGCTGTGAAAATTGTTGATATTTCTTAATATGAAAAAAGATCGAATATATTATATAATTAATTACTTTAAAATAATATAATCTAATCTAATAAGAGGAGAATAACAAAGAAATATATTTGTAGAAGAAGATGAAAGTGCTATGGAAATTATTGTAATTTCTTGGCTTCTATACATTGGTATGTGATGTTACATGTGAGAGGATAACAATTGTAAATAGATTTCTATTTAAATAATAGGAGTATAATTAAACTTTAAAACTAATTATGCAATACCGTAAATTATTTGAATTTTAGTTGGTGAGAGATCGCCACGTTGTGTCCTTATATCGTAGCCATTTGTTTTAATTTTTTTAATAATTTTGAGAAAGATTTTGTCTCTTTAATTTGTTTGGTGGATTTTGCAAATACCTCATTCATATTATGTACATTTGTAGGTTTGTGTCGTTTCTGGGTTCGACCTCTAGGGCGGACTTTATTTGTCTAATTAATTTGTTTGGTTTTTGCATATACGCCCTTCATCTTGTATACATTTGTAAATTTGACACTTAATAATTTCATTCAGGTTTATATTTCAATTTAAACTATATCATTATCTTCATACTATGTATATCCAATAAGAATTCATCAATTTATCAACTCACTCTTGCTTAATGGATTAGTATTTTAATCTCAATGATATTTTTGTCCACCATAAGATTTTTCCGAACTCGTGCTTTAAAAGGGAGTATGATATATGAGTATGCTAGCTTAGTATCAAGTAATGAACTTGATGTTTGGTAAAGAAGTGGTTTATCCCCATCCACTCACGAAACCACATTCACATAAATACAGATGGGTTAAATAATTAGAATTAGTGAACTATAATGTGCCATCTCACTACGCACTAAGTATATCCTTTCTTCTTTTGGGAATTGTTTTGTTTCATTATGCGCATTTATCCTCAGAAAGTGATCCCACTCATCAGCGCACTGGTTATTTTGATAAAGGAATGTGGCAGGGAAAGAGCCAATCAAAATGATAAACTAGCTAATGCAGTATAGTAGTTAAGCCCTTTTTGAAAGTGACATTCCTACTTCTATCAATACTGATATAACTTCAACGATCTTAATAATATTATTTAAGTGTTTTCGACACCAATTCGGTTTAAAGTGTAGCTTTTAGTTCACAAAAGCCGTGAGGTGAGACTAGTCCAAGTTGGACACAATTGGTTAGATTTATGCTTAAATATGTTTGAACTCTCATCCATTCACAAGTGGAAGTCTAGCCATGATTAGGGAAAAAAAAAGTGAGGTGGGAATTAATCCTTTTGACTTATTTATGACAAAGCAGATTAACCTAGCCCATAGCATAAATCCTGATGTTCATTAAAACAACCCCTGGATCTTCAAAATTGAGTCAGTCATTGTGCAAAAAATTAAAATTCCTAGAATATCCCCAAGTGCTTAATTACAATGACAATAATTTCGGACTAATTAATACACTTCTCTTAATTAACATAATAACTATAATCAAGCACTTCAGGGTATTTTAGACAATTTAAAAATAAAACTATGACTTACAGAACATTTTGAGAATGTTCCCTAGATTAACTATTGGGGGTGGGTATGGAGGATGCATGGGGGGTTACAGACTAACTCAATGTTAAGATTTGTGGGGCGTTTCAATAAATAACAATGATCCGAGGGATTAATTAATAAATTTGAAAGATATTTTTGGGTGGGGGTGTATTGGCCAAAAGAAACCGCATCATTAATTTGAAATTGTTGGTGCCGTGTTCATATATATATATATATAAAGCTCAAAATGATAACCATTATCATCGATCTTCTGTCTCAGAACTCCATGGATCAATGTTATGCCAAAACCATGGAAGAGAAAAAGCCATATATTGCTATGATCATAGTTCAAATCATATTTGCAGGCATGGCCGTAGTCTCCAAAGCTGCATTCAATGGAGGCATGAACACATTCGTCTTCACATTCTATAGACAAGCAATCGCTACCCTTGTCTTATTGCCTCTGGCTATAATATTTGAAAGGTAATTTTTTTTTAAAATTTGATCAATTCTTTAATTATCTTTTTAGTCTTGATGAAACTTATGTGATGCTTAGGAGAAGTTCCCCTCCATTGCCGTTCAAATTGATGTTCAAGATTTTCATGGTTGCACTTTTCGGGTACAAAATTTGTTTAAACGTACTTTTTTCGGTAAATTTTGAAGGAATTGTGTCCTTTAATCGAATGTGCAATTACTAATTATGAAATTGGACATTTAATGGAGATTTACAATCCGGTTATTTTAGGTAGTCATAGTGCTTTGCTAGAAGCCAACTATGATTTATGGACTTTATGTTATAAAGTTCATTGTTATTATAATTGGGTCCTACGAGGTCACAACCTAAGAGTTTATGGACTGGATATATTGGGAGAATTATTATATAAAGTATATAATATAAAGTTATATAAGATATAACTTCAAAATAGAGTTTATTAATAATAAGGAGTTATTGTTTGTTGTAAAAGGTGAAAAATTTCTAATTTTTTGAAAAGTTTCCTATTTTTTGAAGAAACCAGTTGGAAAACCAGTTGAAAAACGAAGGCACGCATGTGTGAATCTAGATTCATTGCAGTGAATCCAGATTCACTGTAGTGAATCCAGATCCAGTTATGTAAGGTGTTTGTTTTTTACCATAAAAAATCGTAACTTTTTGCTGTAAAAGGTAAAAAATTTCACCTTTTAGTCTGAAAAGTTTCCTGTTTTTTAAAGAAACCAGTTAAAAAACGAAGACACGCATGTGTGAATCCAGATTAACTGCAGTGAATCCAGATTCAGTTATGTGAGGTGTTTGTTTTTTACCATAAAAATCGTAACTTTTTACTGTAAAAGGTGAAATCTTTTCATGGTTTAAAATTTTATAGCTTGATGAAAGATGAATTGTTGCTGTGTTCTTCCTGCAAAGAATGTTGTTTTCGACGCTGAATTGTTGCTGTGTTCTTCCTACAAAGATGGATGATGAAAGATGAAAGCTTCATAGAAGATGGAAGATGGTTAGGATGGTTTTTAATGAACTGTTGTCGTGTTCTTCATGTGAAGATGGAAGATCAAAGCTTGATAGAAGATGGAAGTGAGTTACAGAGAGCGGGAAGTTAGTTAGAGAGAGAAATGGGGAAGTGAAAGGACGTGTTGTATTTTTTGTTTTAATCATTATCTCCAGTTTCCAATGTTGCCAGCCACCATTGTAGTGAATCGTTCTAATTTTACCCTTTTCACATTAATTTTTACAGCTGATGTGTATTAGATTTGTGTATATTTTCAATTCTGCCATCGAAATGTAGGCCATTGGATTAAATAGATTGGAGGGTTAGGATTGGTTTTTAGTTCTCTAGGTTTTTTAGAACCTCTCCCTATATATATGAAAAATATGGGTATGCTTGGTACCAAGCACAAAATTTATGCTTGGTAGTGAGGTGTCATATTATCCTTCACTCATTCAAATGGGGGGACCACATTCACATGGGTTGAATGTGGCCCCCCCAATTGAATGAGTGGATGGAAATGAGACACCTCACTACCAAGCTTTTCTTATCGGCGACCAGTTTTTCGGCGATAGCTCGTCACGTGCGTGGCATGTGATGACTTAAACTATTTTTTAGCTGCTGATGTGGCACAGATTTTCTGACGTGGCTATGTTTAAAGGCGGGAATTAACACTCTAAAAATCCCAATTCACCCAAAATAGGACAGATTCGCCTAACTGTTTTATCCACGTCAAAAAATTCGTGCCATATCATCAGCTAAAAAACAGTTTAAGTCATCATATGTGCCACACATGCGACGAGCTCTCGCCGGAAAACTAGTCGCCGATGAGAAAAATGACCTTGTTGGTAAGTTGAATAAATTAAAATGTCTTAAAGCAGGTTTGCCTAATTAAAATACCTTCTTGGTAAATGGGATGGAATTAAAATACCAATATAGGTATTTAGCCTATATATATAAAGCTCAAAATGATAATCATTATCATCTTCTGTCTTAGAACTCCATGGATCAATGTTAAGCCAAAACCATGGAAGAGAAAAAGCCATATATTGCTATGATCATAGTTCAAATCATATTTGCAGGCACGGCCGTAGTCTCCAAAGCTGCATTCAATGGAGGCATGAACACATTCGTCTTCACATTCTATAGACAAGCAATCGCTACCCTTGTCTTATTGCCTCTGGCTATAATATTTGAAAGGTAATTTTTTTTTAAAATTTGATCAATTCTTTAATTATCTTTTTAGTCTTGATGAAACTTATGTGATGCTTAGGAGAAGTTCCCCTCCATTGCCGTTCAAATTGATGTTCAAGATTTTCATGGTTGCACTTTTCGGGTACAAAATTTGTTTATACGTACTTTTTTTCGGTAAATTTACCCTTTCTTTTTCTTGGGTTTTTTTTTTTTGTAATGGTTTTATTTGAATTTAGGTACACAATCAACTTAAACATGCACAATATCGCCATCAAACTCACTTCAGCAACAGTGACTTCAGCAACATCAAATCTCATTCCTATTTTCACTTTTGTTCTGGCACTTTTATTTCGGTAATTTAGATTTTACATAAACAAATCAAAATTCAAATTTAATGTTCAAACAGAGAAATAATTTATCGCTTTGATGGATATTACAGGGTGGAAATTATCACGTTTAAGACTTGCTCAGGAATTGTAAAGGCAATTGGAGTAGTAATTTGTTTAACGGGAGCTATGGTTATTGCATTTTACAAGGGCCCTCATTTGAACTCATTCATCCATCATCATCCAATTCTGCATGGAAGTAGTCAGAATGATTCTAACATTACTCACAAAAAATGGATAATTGGTACTTTTCTCATGGTGTTGGCTGCATTTTGTTGGTCTTCATGGCTAGTGTTATTGGTATATAAAATTGTTCAACCTCCGATCTTAACTTAGGGTTAATTAATTACTAATAGACCCCATTGCTTTTGCCTAACTGGAGATATACCTCATGTGGTTGTATCGTTACAGACAGATCCGCCGAGTGAATTTTTTTGACTCTTTTACTCTCAGAAGGTCTAGTCATCGAAAACTAGTTTTCTCCAGATCTTAGGGAAAAGAGTAGAAGAAAATTCGCACACTGGTCTAACTGCAACAATGGAACTACAAGGAGACTATTCGTAATTTAGCGATAGTATCGGGTGTCTATCCGCAATTTTTCCCTTGACTTATTAAGATACCGAATGGATTATATTTCTGTTTACAGGGAATAATATTGAAGGAATATCCATCATGGATTTGGTCCACTGTTCTTTTGAACCTCTTCAGTACAATTCAATGCTTTATTGTTGCCATTACAACCGAGAGGAATTTGAACAAGTGGAAGCTACACTGGGATGAAGAACTTCTTGGAGTAGTATACGGTGTAAATGATTTCAAGCGCATACCTATTTATTTTCCCTTCAAGATTGATTATGATGTGAAATATGCATGCATCTCTTAAGTACGACTACGAAATTTGATGCAAGTGTGAATTTCACAGAACCCCCTGAATTTTTGAGGCTTCCTGAGAAACCTGCGTGAACTCTTTTTCCCCACCTGGGCCCATGAAGTTTGGGTTATCTCACAAAACTCCCCTAAACTTTTAAAAATTTCCCACGTGGTCAAGAATCAATTATTCCTACACAATCAAATAATGGCCGATGACGACATTACCACAGTTAGGGGGTCTGTAGGGAACATTGAAAGTTTAGTAGGTTTGCAAGATCCGTCAAATTTCAAGGGGTTTGGAGGGGGAAAAACCCAGGAGAACTTTGTGGGAAACCCCCAAAAAATCACAGAGGGTTTTGTAAAACTGTCCCATTTCCTCCCCTTTTCTTTTTTTCCCCCGAAGTGCAAGTGTAGTTGTGATTATTACGAATACATATAACTTTGTCAGGTAAATCTCACATAATCCCCGAAACTTTAGCCCATTTCGAAAAGACACAGAGACTTTTAAAAATGTCACATAACACCCAAACCATCATCTAGACTTCACCATAATCTTCAAGTTTTGTCAGTTTAATCAATATATATATATATAGTCATTTAATTACTTGCATCAACGATCATGACTGCAATGAGCTCAAATTTGACAATATTGCAGGGTGTGTTGGTGTCGGCACTTGTGTTATACTTGCAAACTTGGTGCATTCACAAAAGAGGCCCTGTTTTCGTGGCGATGTTCTCCCCCTTGGCGCTTTTGATCGCCGCTGCGGCCTCCTCCTTCCTCTTAGGAGAAGTCATAAACCTTGGAAGGTAATCACCAAAAAAAAAAAAAAATTCTATTTTCTTTATATTTGTAAGTTTGATCAATATTGTGTTTTGGTTTGTGATGTTGAACATATATACGCAGTGTTCTAGGTGGAGCTTTCATGGTTGTAGGCCTTTACTGTGTTCTATGGGGGAAAAGTAGAGAAAGAAAGAACATGAATTCAAGTGTTGAGGATGCAAAGGATAGCATCTCGATCGAAAGTAGAGGTTGCATAGTGAAGTAGGTGACTTTTTGTCAGCATTTGTTATGAAACAAGCCAATAAGGTAACATTCCTGTATGTGGCGTCGTTAAAAAATGAGGTAAATTTATGTGTCATGCCTTCTCTAATGTTTTCTGAGCCTTATGACTTGTTGTTTGGATTGGGGGTAATGTGCATAAAGGGGATGTAGAGGACAAAAGGTTTAGGTTCTGTTCCCCCGCAATTTGGAGCGTAACGGAGGGAAAGGTAATGTAAGGTAACTCTTAGAGCATCTCTAACCACAAAACTCAAAATGGTGTAGTTTCTACACCAAGTTAGTGTAGTTTTTACACCAAATCACTATTCCATCTCCAACCCATTACACCAAATTTTACACCAAAAAAGAATATTACTTTTATGATTCTTATCTTCTAAATTTTTTACCTATTTTAAATATTTAACAAATTATATATTATATAATTTTATAATACATTACATATAATTAATTATAATAATATATTTTATGAATAAAATACAAATATAAAAATAATTCTTAATCAAGTAAGAAAGTGGTTTTCATCACAAAGCCCCAAATCCCCCAATTTCTTCTCCTCCTCTTCAACCTTCTTCCTTTTCTCAAACCCAGCAAGCTTCTCCTCTTCCCTCACCCCCAACAAGCTTCGATTCCCTCTAAATGAAATCATCAAACACTTGAAACCTCAAGACCAAATCCACAACATGCTGAACCTCCTTCCTCTGCTCGTGGGCTTGAAGCAGCACCGATTCTTTCTTGCCTGTTGAAGGATGGAGAAGAGCTCGTCCGGGACATTAGGGGTTTCTGTAAAAATAAAAAGCAAAAAAAAAAAAAATTTACTGCACCAAAGCTACAGTGCTGCGCCAAATCTAGCGCAGTACTGTAGCACCTCATCAAAATGGCGATGGATTTAGCGCTCGGTTGGAGGGGGATTTAGCGTTGGGTTTGCGTCATCTTGGTGATTTAGCGCTCGGTTGGAGATGCTCTTACAAAAAGAGAATATTACACAAAAACAATGTTGCCCCCATATTGAGATTCAAAGGGATGAAATAGCATTAAGATATTTATGTAAATTTACAGATATTCCCTTACTTTCCCTTCACTTTAGCAAACTTTACAAACGAGGTGAAATAAGTTCCCATTGATTCTCTCTACTAATTTCCCAAATAAGTTTTACATGTTCTCTTACTTTCCCTTAACTTATCTCATGTTCACTTAACTTCTCTTGACTATGTGTAAATTCAAACATGCCATTACTGTTGAAAGTTTGAGGGTCCTCTAAGAATAATGTTCAAAGTTTGAGGGGTCCTCTAAGAATAATGTTTAAATATAAGGGGTATGTTGAAAAAATTGGCCGGGTGCTGTTTGGGGGGTGAGTTGGGAAAAATTCAAACGTCACGGGTGTTTTCCGAACTCGCTCAAAAGTTGGAGGTTAAGTGACTTTTTTAAAATTTGAGGAATATCTCATAATGGCTTAAACTCTAAGGGGGGTTTAGTGAAATCTAACCTACGAAAAGAATAAATGTAGGCTGTTCTGATCGATAATGATAACATTAGAGTAACTATCAAATCCCTATCAAAAGATTACCAAATTTTTTTTTTCTCTTCAAATTAATTTTGTCAAAGTATGTCACATACGTCCTTTTTTCTCAGGCTATTATGGTAATATGTCTCTGTCGTATTAGATTTTTTTTTCTCTTTTTCTTGAGGAATTGCGATAAGCGTGAAAGAGCATAATACTAACAAAACTTTGCTTTCAGTAATATCGTTAGACGATTAAATTGTTTTTTTCCTATTTGAACCAAATTTAACTAGAAGGTCCCTTTAACTAGACGTTTCCAAAATTTTGTTGGTCCTACATCGCATATTTCGCGGTCTTTATACTAGATACTTAATTTCTTGATAATGATAAATGATAAAGGGTTCTAGTGAAGAAGAAAACTTTAATCTCCCAAAAATATTTAACGCTCATCATCTTCTTGATCTTTATCTTTCTTCCTCACTCTTTTGGTGACTCAATTGGATAATATTTTTATTATCAATTACTATCGTTTAAATAAAGTCATCTATTTCGTCATGTGAGCTTCATCTTTGGGATATGTGAGGGAGACCTATCATGTCATCAATCAAAGCAAGCTTGACATCTTGAAGGAGATCCAAATCTAAACTAAAGGTGCCAATGTTATAGTTTCTTGCGCCATTTGAGCTTGACATCTTGAAGGAGATCCAAATCTAAACTAAAGGTGCCAATGTTATAGTTTCTTGCGCCATTTGAGGCTAAACGACTAGCTACATAATTAACTTTTCTATAAACATGGCAAATAGCAAAAGACATAGAAGATAGTAAACCCATGATCTCCTTTCATAAGATACGATATTATCGGTTTACACTATAATCAGGACAAATGTGTAGATTTAACTACAAGCATCCAAACATGCTCTTATTATTCCCCTTTATTTACACCTTCACCTGTTCATAACGTTGGCCAACTCATTTCCTAATTCCTATCATTTACCCCCCTCCCGCGCCCAAAAATAATTTTACATGAGGGAGACGGGAGACCGGATGTTAACCGATCGAAAATTTGCAATTTATCTTTGCCAAAATGACAATATAGAAGTGGTATCCATACGCTAACTGAGGGGGTGTTAAATACAACTAAAGGTATAGATGAGAGATGTTATGTGCAAATTATTATTATTATTATCAAAATGATCATTTTTTTAAGTAT